GCGCCTCAGGAAGAGAAGCCACAGACCGTGTGAGGGGAAAGGGTTTAATGCGAGTTCCCCACGCTCAAACCGTACAGCTCGTTAACGCTCAGCTCCGAACCGGCCCGAGGTAACACACAACAAAATAACAACAAAAAAAAAAACCCAAACAACCCTGCTGCTGAATAAATACGTAATACACATTTTGGACATCTCGACGACTGGCTTATCAATCCCTTCGTTTGATAACAGACAGTTCTAGATTTCGCAGGGCTTAGTACAGTTTTGTTTCTCAAATGATTGCCCCTGCCTGGATTTTTCTCTCCTGGGCATGGGTGAGTGTGTGGCTTTGAAACAGACCTAAAAAGGTGAAGGAAAGTGGGGAAAGCTGAATGTCCCCTTCCTCAGGCACATTTCAAAATTGTGTACAGCTCCTGCCAGAACTCCTAAACATGTCTAAAGCTATTCTGCCCCCATTAGAATGACCCATCCCAGAAGAAGGGCTCTACCCTGACTTTCAGGCAGAGAAGCTGGAGACAGACAACTAAAAGGCAGATTAATTTTTTTTTTTTTCCCCAAAGGACAATCATGCTATGAATTTATTGCTTGTGAAACACACTAGTCTGGCATAATAGTGTCTGAAAAACAGAGCAGGTATCTCAGGCACAGGCAGAAAAGATTTCTGCCCCTTCCCCTTCTAACCACAGGTCTAGTCTAGATGTATTTTTACACCTACTGGTTTACCACAATCTCTCAGCACTTCCCAGTCACCCATTTCTATCAGCCTTGACCCCACTGGAGAAGTTTCTGCAACGTAGTGTTTTGGTTTTCAATCTCAAATAATAGAAACGGAATAATTATTTCCTCTAAGAGACAGAGAACAGCTCTTCCCATCTAATGTGAATGGCCCATCAAAGAAAATTATTAAAACAATCTCTGACAAGAGGAATGAGGCCACCAAAGACCACTGGGACCTCTGGGTTGTTATCCAGAGACTGATCTGTGTTTTGACTATCGTAACATGGTATAGAACAGAGACAATTCTGCAGTGAAGCCCTCCTGATTGATGCAGCTGTTCCCAGCCTTCCCTTTCTTAAATTTAATCTACACATACTGACATGGCCTGAATTTGTGTGGGTATGTCTGTTGCTCTTAGCTGGAGGAACAGAAGGTAGGGTCTTTTATCTCTTCAGTCCAATCCCAGAGGTAAAGCATCATCAGAGGACCTTCCTTTAGCTAACCAGAAGCACCTATGTTGCCACTGCTGTTGCTTTGAACTTTGTTGATTTGCTTGCAAAGACAGCAAAGAGGTAAGGAATCAGATGATCTTCAGGCTCTTCCAACTCAGTTTCATTTGGTGTGACACTTAACTCTTATGACTCCTGGAGTCAGCTCCCTGATTGGTTTATATTTGGAATAATGTCCAGGAATTATTGTCTAACACCCAGTACCATAAAAATGCTGTGGATGAAAACAGGTTTCCAGCTTGTAACTTGCCTCCAAAAAGCTGGATTTCCGGTCCAAAAAAGCATTTTTTTAAAGCAATTCAATCACTGATGAATCTTCAAGTAAATGGCACTTTCAAGAAAGAGTGGATGTAGAGCAGAATCAAAAATGAAGGCACAAAATCTCCTTTGGACTTCTACAGCAATATTCCTAGATATTACCTGCAGTATCAGAGAGGGAGATCTTCCAGTAGCGGAGTCTTAGAATATCAGTTAAAAATCACGTTAAAAATCATACAAAAATCAAATCCAAATATTTGAACAATGCCTTAGAAACTCTCAGCAGCATTCCCTGTTGACACTCAAAGTCAGCAGTGAGCAGGGCCAGGGAAAGGTCCTTCCTGGGAAGCAGAACTCTAGGGGTCAAGAAAGGACACTGCGATGTAGCGGGTTCCCTTGGTGGTTGGAAGACCTTCATGGTAGTGGGTCAGGCGTCCTGGATGCATGAGGGTCCAGCCTTTCCGTGGAGCTCGAATGGAGCAGTTGTAGCGCAGGAACCGGCAGCCTCCTCCCTGGTGGGAACACAAGAGACTCATCAGCTTGGAAAAAGCACCTCAGGGAAGGGGTCCCTTCCTTCTGAAAGTGTGACAAGGTGCTTGGGGAGCCGCCTGTGTTGTCATGCATTCAGAAATCTCTTTCCTAGCCTAAGCCAATTGTAATCCTTAGTGTAAGGAGCCTGATATGGATCAGGGAAGGGTTTTCAGCTGCTCCAGGTGCTGTGCTGCACTCCTGACCCCCTGGCAGACACTCACCTCATAGTCAATGCCAACTCTGTTCAAGGCAATGTTGATGGTGAAGGTGGAGGCGTCGTGGTGGGGCATTAGGGATGGCTGCTCGTCAGGTTTGTAGCGAACCACAAAGGCCAGTTCAAACTGGGTCTGAGAGAGAAGAACAATGTACACTCTGTTAGAGGGCTATGGTGGTCTGTGGCTCCTGAGCTGCAGGGGCAGGCTGTAACACTGAAATTGCATCCCACTGCTAAAGGAGAAAGGCAAAAATGAGGCAGAAGAATGTCATTGAGGAATTGTGTGTTTCCTAATGCACATACTTATGTCACACTGCAGGGTCAGCTCCTCTGTAATAAATATTGAAATAGTGTGTGTATTACTGGAGGATTCTGGCAGTCTTATCATAAAGCTGCAGCTGGAGGAGGTGCTGAGCTGACCACGAGTTTTGCTGTTAAGGTGGACATACCTTGGTGTAGTATCCTGGGTACAGTTTCTCTGTGATAGGTGCAATATAGTCCAGAAGAAACTTATACCATTCTCTTTCAAAGCCAATTTGGTTCATGTGTATGTCAATAGTAGGGACATTCTCATATCCTCCTTGTATTCTGCTGTCCTGAAATAGATTCAACAGAAATACTCATAAGGATGTGAACCTTGGAGTTCAGGAATGAAAAGTACTTGTTCCTGGTAACTACAAATAAATATTATGTTTGTTTATCAGAATTTGAAGGATGGAAAGCTCATTTCAAAACATCATTAAACCCTAAGGGAAATAATGTTACCATCAAAGAGGCTGGAATCTCATAGGACACAAAAAAGAACTCGGGGAAAAATCAGAGTTAATCAGGAGCAAAATTCAAGTATTGTCTCTACTTTTCTGCTTTAATTCAGGATCTAATGCTTCCCACAGGAGGCACTGCTATCACCAGATATGCACAGAAAATGGTGTGGCCCAGAACTCAAAAGAGCTCTTGCTTTTACTTACCGTGTTGTCACCTGTGGACCACTGGCCATAATGTTCCATTTCTTCCACCAGCTCATCACAGGCAGTGTCAGTGAATATGGGGAACCAGTAAACATCTGGGCAGGGCTGCAGATAGCAGACAGGTGAGAACAGCAGAAACAAGGACAGGTGCTTGAGGCAAAAAAAGTAAGGCTAAACTGAGTATAGACCAAGGTGAAGGAAACTAAAATAGTGAGGATAGAAATTTGTCTTCTGACTTATGTGCCTTACTTCTACTTAAGAGAGTGGAGATGTACTTCTAGGAGAATGATTTAGTTCTAAAAGTACTTTCAAGGTCATGTTTCCTGTGCTCAATTGCTTATTTCTCAGAATTACAATAACGATGATAAACTATTGTCCTAGAGCTCATCTCCTGTTCTGATGGATAAGAGTGATGTTTTCTTACCATTTCTACCAATTTCCCTTTCAGAGCTGCTGTGTAGTTTTCATGGATGTACTTTTCTCTCCAGTCCTGCAATTAGAAGATAAGCAAACCAGTAATTTCTGTGAGACCCCTGCTTAAAGAGGTAATAAAAGGCCAGGCACTCATGCAAGCACTATTTCACAGGTTTTGAAGATCCATATGTTAAGAATCCCAAAAATATGTTCTCTTTAAATTGTGTGCCTGTGCTCCTCATCCCACCTGAAAGACATCATTATTACAAAGCCTGGACTTCCCGTAGTGGTGAAGCTGATATCAAGTGTTTCCACATTGCTGGGCCTTCTGAGTATGCAGGTTATCTCACCTCAGGATTGCTGAATATTTGCCAGAGGTCATTGTGGAGGTGACTTGTCTGGTAATTCTCCAGGGAGAGTATGTGTCCAAATTGATGCTGATTTGTCAGGTACATAAAAACTCCCTGCAGGACAAAGAGAAATAATAAAGGCCTCATATTTCTGAGAGCCACTGTGAAACCAAGCACTGGACAGTTCTCCAAGCTGTTCATTTACTCATTCTTTCTCCTGTGGGCTTTCAGTTTTATTTCCACCCTGGATATGAGCAACTCTGAAAGGTTACAGGCAGAGACAGTGATTCTGTGTCCTGTCAGCCAGGGCTGGAAGCAGAGGAAAGCAGCAGCTGTGAAATTAGGGTCTTCCCTCTTACCCTGTCAAAT